GCGCACACACACACACACACACACACACACACACAACCGCCTTCATTAGCCACAGGTAAGAGTATATCAGTAACTTAACAACACTTCTATCCCTATATAACGCTGTCCTCAGGAGCCAAAAAATCTTTCCACGTTTATAGGTCAAACCGCCTTATATTGAACTTGCTTTGATCCGCCGAAGTGCGCAGCTCTGCCTCTTTTCCCCCCCCCCTCCCCCGAGCACTGCTTTACCGCGTTATATCCGAATTCGTGTTATATCAGGTCATGTTATATCGGGGTAGAGGTGTATTACAAATATTCTTGTAACTTTTTTTTAGGTGGGGATTCTTAACTTTGACCTTATAATACTGCCTTGGAATGAAACTTTTTTTTAAATATCTATTGGTCCACAGCAAGCAACTTAATCTAATCGATGACTGTAGAAACTAGAAAGCCTTGCTCTCAGTCATACAGGAAAAGATCTATCTTATAAATGTCTCATTAGACCAATAGCATACTAAGGCAGTCATTCCCTGCTGTACCCATACATGTTCTATCTGCCAGTAATTATGTAAGTAAAATTCAACACACAAATTTTTATCTAGGAATACAAGTCCCTTGGGCTCCGCTTGTGAAATTGAATGAGAAGACCAAAAGTTAGTTTGGTCACAAAACATTGTACTTGGTATGTATGTCAGAAACGAAGTTGCAAAACTAGAGCGTATTTTTTGATAATCAGCCCACCATTTACAAAAGGGTGTATCTCAGATAATACACATTACCTTAATTGCAAGCTGCTTTAGGTGTGTCTCTTCCCTTGGATGATCTTGACAGTGTGGATGTTAACTGCTGTACTATTGTGGTTTTTCTTACCCTTCATGACTACTACCTTTTCCATCAGAGATTGAGACCACATCTAGTTGAGTCTGCCTATCAACTGGCTTGGCATGTGAGCGTGAGGGCATTGGCTACTCTCTCAGAACAGCACGGTGGTGGATTTCTATGACATCTTTTCTTTTGGGGAATTATACAGATTTTGAGCACATAAATGCTTTGGGGCCTAATTCTACACTGCACTGTACTTTGTGGACCCTTTTACACCAGGGCCAAGTGAGTGTGAAATGCTACTCTTCTAATTTGTTCACGCTTTGCACCAATGTAAATGACTGCAAAAGGTTTAGTTTGGAAAAAAGGCGATTAAGGGTGGACATGATAGTGGTCTTCAGATACTTGAAAGGCTGCCATAAGAAAGATGGAGAAGTTCTCTTTTTGCCACAGGGAGCAGGACAAGAGGCAATGGATTCAAACCACAGCACAGCAGATTTAGATTAAATCTCAGGAGAAACTTCCTAACTGGAAGAACAGTAGGACGATGGAACAGACTGCCTCAGGAGGTCATGGAAGCTTTTTCACTGGGGGTTTTCAAAAGGAGGCTGGATCGCCATCTGTCTTGATGGTTTAGACGCAAATCCTGCATCTTGGCAGGGAGTTAGACTAGAGGATCCTTGCGGTCCCTTCTAACCCTATGATTCTAGGTGCAGGTTTGTCATCAGTAGATCTCAAAGCACTTTCCAAAGGAGTTCAGGTTCATCCTCCTAATTTTATAGATGGGGAAACCAAGGCACCAAGAGTGGATGTGACTTTCCTACGGTCACCTAGCAGAGCAAGGACTAGCACCCACATTGGTTAAGTTCCATGGCAGTGCTCTACCCACTGGGCCACATGGTTATCAAATAGGTAAACCACACTCAAACCCCTTTCTAGTAAAAGAACCTGCAGACCTCTCTTGTTTTTAATGCCTTTCTGTAGAAATGGTTATACCTATCTGATTGTTTCACCACTCCCAGTTTTGAAATGCATCCACTGGGCCTGGTAAGTCAGTCAGTCTCTCTCTCTCTCTCTCTCTCTCTCATACCTATGTTCAAAATCTGGTATTTGCTGCAGCTAAATAATTAACTCTTTTATTTGCCCAAAAAAGTCTCCCTCGGGAAATGTTTGCTGGACGCATGTTTTAAATTGTTTTTATTTTTTTCTCAATTCTTTTTGTCTTAAGGCAGTTTAATAACTATTCTACAATTCTTTCTCTTCCAGGCTTGCTTACCTAATTTGGCGGTGCAATGGAGGCTTGTTATAATTTATTACAGGAATCTCTTCAGGTGTGGCACAAACATGGATATCCCTTTCCTGAACTGTTCTCCTACGTTTTCCCTTAGCTTATTTAGAATATAAACTTTTTAGGGCGCAGAATTTGTCCTCTACTCTAATTTTACAGGTTTCAGTGGTAGCCATGTTAGTCTGCACCTTAGAGACTAACAAGACTGGGAGGGATAGCTTAGTGGTTTGAGCATTGGCCTGCTAAACCGAGGGTTGTAAACTCAATCCTTGAGGGGGGCCATTTAGGGATTTGAGGATTTAGTTGGGGATTGGTCCTGCTTTGAGCAGGGGTTGGACTAGATGACCTCCTGAGGTCCCTTCTATGATTCTATGAAGCTTTCGTGGGCTAGAAAAATACAGGAGCAGGTATAAATACATGAAAAGATGGGAGTGCTTTACCAAGTGTTAGGTCAGTCTAACAAGATAAATCAATTAACAGCAGGATACCAAGGGAGGAAAAATAATGTTTCAAGTGGTAAGAGAGAGGCTCCTTACAGACAGTTGACAAGAAGGTGTGAGTAACAGTAGGGAGAAATTAGTATTGGGGAAATTAAGTTTAGGTTTTGTAATGACCCAACCACTCCCAGTCTTTATTCAGGCCTAATCTGAATTTGCAAACTAGATACCATCAGATTAGGTTTCTGAAGTTGGTGGCCAAGGATAAGAATCCACTGGTCATGCCGCATATCTGCACTAACACCACCACTTCACATGATACCTCACAGCTTATAGAGGCCTTCAGGGAACTCGGAAGCATGCTGAAGGAGAGGAATGTCCAAGTGATCTTCTCTGAAGTCGTTCCTGTCCCAGGAGCAAAGGAAGACCGAAGACATTGGAAGTGAGCTGTTGGCTAGGTAAATTAGTGGAGGGTTTTAGTTTGTGGAAAATTGGTCTATCCTCTATGTAAGGAGGGGGCTGTACAATTTGGATGGCCTCCATTTCAGTAGAATGGGACCCAATCGCCTCAGACAGGCTGGCTACAGAAGTTAGGGGATTTAAACTAATAACAAATGGGGAAGATATGAGCACTCAGAACAAAATTGGGAGGAGGGGTGGGGGAGTAATCAAGGGACGTGAAGAGAAGAAATTCTGTAATTGCTTATACGCCAGCGCTAGGAGCCTGAATAATAAACAAGAAAAATTGGAATTGCTTCATTTATGAGAAAAAAATTGGATCTGGTTAGTGTTAATTAAACCTGGTGGGGTGAGTCACACCATTGGAATATTAAAATCAGTGGTTATAACGTATTTAGGAAGGTTTAAGTGGGCAAAGAGGGGGAGAGAGTCAGTGACCGTTTGGAAGCAAATTATCTTGAATGTTTATGGATCGATGGTCTAACCAACAAAGCTCAAGATGGGAGTATTAACTGGTGTCTGCTAGAGACCATCAAATCACATTAGAGAACAGGATGACCACCTATCTATAATGTGAAGGGAAAAAAGCTCTGTGTGCTCATGAGGGACTTCAGCTTGAATGACACACACTGGAGGTCTCGTGTTCCCCTAAATGTCTAAAAATTATGACAGTTTCCTAACTCAAAGTATAGCATCCAACATTATATTAGACTTCATCTTAACCAATGGAGAGGAATTGATCACATAACTAAAAATTGCTATTTGCTTACAGGAGCGGATTTACCCTGAAACACAGTGCCGTGGCACGGAGCCCCCAACAACAGGGGGCCCCAAAACATAGGCCCAGGGACTAGGGGTACGGGGGTGCTGCAGTATCCTCTCATTTTTTGCAGGGCTCTGCTGCCGCCCAGGGTCTTGGCTGCTGCCCCGCGCCCAAGGCTCTGCGGGCTCTGCCGCCCTGCACCACTGATATTAAAATCTATTGTTAGGAGCACAGAATCGCCTGGGTTCCTGGAGAGACAGGGAGGTGCCCGAGCCCAGCTACTGGGGCTGCAGCATGGCCGCGGCGGCTAAGGGGGATCGCAACCACCTGCTTTGCAAGGACCCAGCAGCCAGGGGAGGCAAGCAGAGATCAGCGCATGGAGGCGGCTCAGGTGGCCGTCGATGATGCCGTGCTCCCCACCACCGCCTTCAGGGGCCGCCCAGCGCAAGGCCCCAGGATACCTGAAGCTGTCCTCAGCTATGAAGATCTTGGTGTCTCCTGTCTCCTTCTCCAGCTCCATGGCGACTCCGTTCATGCGCTGCCTCCAGGGTCCCAGCTGCTGCCCCACATCCGGGGCTCTGCGGGCTCCATTGCTGCCCCACTGGGTGGCCAGAGACCTTTGTGGGCTGAACACCCACCTGAAGGGGGGGAGAGCACGGGTCCATCGGCAGCCACCTGAGCACGCTGCTGCCTCTGCACTCTGATCTCTGCTGGGCACTTGAAAAGCAGGTGGCTGCAATTCCGTCTTAACTGCCGCAGCCACGCTATAGCCCCCATGGCCAGGCTCGGGCATCTCCCTGTCTCCCCAGGAGCCCAGGCAGTTCTGTGCTCCTAACAATGTTTTAACATAAGTGGCGCGGAGCAGCAGCAGAGCCCCACATAAAATGTGGGGGTGCTGCAGGACCCCCCCACACCCAGGGCCGCCGCTGAAGGGTAGGGGCAAAAGGGGCAGCTGCCCCAGGGCTCCCGGCCACTGATACTGAGGGGGGCCCCCAAAAATGAAGCTGCACACAGGGCTCCACTAACTCTCTAAATCTGCCACTGTTTAGGTGCAAGACTACGCTGATTAGAAAGCAGCCTGACTCTGAGAGAAGAAGTAAAAACAGCTGTAAAATTTTATATATAAATTATATTAATGGCAATCAAGTTCCCCTTTTTTCCATTTGTTATAATGACAAATGGGAAAAGGGGGAAGTTAATAGAAATTAACATAAATCACAAGTTAGCAATGGTAGAAACTTAATACAAGAAGCAAAAGAACACAAAGAAATCTTACTGTCCTTTATTTCTGCTTGCCATAGGAATTTTTAAATACATTAGGAACAAGAGAAATCCTACAACGATAACTGGTCCATTACTTGAGGAAATAGTGGCATTGTCAATAACTGCACAGAAAAGGCAGATGTGTGTTTGATAAATAGTTCTGTTCTATGTTTGGGGAAGAAAGTAAAATGGTATTTTCATATCATATGATTGTGATGAAATACTTTCCATTCCAACAGTAACTAAGGAAGATGTTAAACAACAGCTACTAAAGTTAGCCATTTTTAAATGAGCAGGTCTGGATAATTTTCATCCAAGAATCTTAAGAGCTGGCTGGGGAGCTCTCTGGCCCCCTACTATTGATTTTGAATAAGTCTTGGAACACTGGGAAGTTCCAGAAGATGGGAAGAAAATTAATGTTATGCTAGTATTTAAAAAGCATAAATGGGATGACCAAGTAATTATAGGCCTGTCAGTCTGACATGGATCTCGAGCAAAATAATAGAACAACTGACATGGGACTTGATGATTAAAGACTTGATGAGGGATAATATAATTGATGACAATCAACATGGGTTTATAGGGTGACAAAATCTGTTTTCTCACTGGATATCTTTTTGGATGAGATTACAAGTTTAGTTAAAAGTAGTAGTGTCAATGTAACATACTTAGACTTCTGTAAGGCACTTGACGTGGTATTTTAATTTGTTCAGAAACTAGAATGATACAAAATGAACATGCAACACATTAAATGGATTAAAACATAGCTCACTGATAGCTCTCAAAATGAAATTGTAAATGTGAGGAATCATCATCCAGTGGGTGTTTCTCTGGTGGAATCCCACAGGGATCGATTCTTCTGTTTAACATTTTTGTCAGTGACCTGGAAGAACCTATATGGGGAACAAAAATTTGATAATGGAGTGCTCTTCGATCTAACAGACAAAGGTATAACAAATCCTACAGGTACCTACATGGAGAAGAAATTTCTGAACATAGACAGCTCTTTAATCTACCAGAAAAAGGCATTACAAAATCCAATGACTAGAAGTTGAAGCTAGATATTTTTAGACTGAAAACAAGATGCACATTTTAAATGAAGGTAATTAACCACAAGAACAACTTACTAGAGATGTGTTGGAGTCTCTGTTACTAGAAATCTTTAAATCAGGATTGCATGTTTTTCTAAAGGATGTGCTCTCATTCAACCACAGCTATTGGACTTGAAGCGGGAGTTAATTCAGGCAAGTCCTATGGCCTTTGTCTTGTAGGCAGTCAGACTGGATAATGATAATGGTGTCTTCTGGCTTTAAAATCTATGCATCTGGGAGAGCCCGAGAATAGAACAGTGAAGCATGGACAAGTTCCCCTCCAGTGCCCTGTAAACAGTGATGAGCTGCCAAAATTTGCACAACCGGTTCCCTCCTCACTCCACAAGGGTGTCGTGGCCTGCCCCCCCGGGACCCCTGCCCCATCCACCCCCCTTCCCTGTCCCCTGACCACCCCTGGAACCCCTGCCCCTGACTGCCTCCCACCGCCCCATCAAACCCCCGCCCTTTTTGACTGCTCCCCTGGGACCCCTTGCCCCCATTCAACCCCCCTGTTCCCCGCCCTCTGATCGCCCCAAACCCTATCCACCCCTCCACCCCCCCCGATCTTCCCTGCCCTCTATCCAACCCCCATTTCCCCACACACACACTCCCTGCCCCCTTACCGTGCTGCCTGGAGGTGGCTGGCGGTGCTATAGCCACGTCGCTCAGCTGGAGCCGGGCCACGACGCCGCCGTGCAGCACCTGGAGCACTGGGTCAAGCCGAGCTCTCAGCCTCCCCCCACCCCTTCCTGCGAATCAGCTATTTGTGCGGGAAGCCTGGAAGGGCTAACCTCACCTCCCTTCCGCCTCTGCCTCCCTGGACCTGAGTGCGACGCTGCCACTTGCTTCTCTGCCCTTCCAGGCTTCCCGCACGAACAGCTGATTTGCGGGAAGAGGGGGAGCGGGGGCGGAGTGTAGCATTCAGGGGAGGAGGCGGAGCAGAGGTGAGCTGGGGCCAGGGTGTGGGGCGGGGAGCTGGAGCACCCACGGGGTCGGCAAGGCACCACTTTTGGATAATGTGCTCGGGGAGTGGCCACTCCCCTTGCTCCCCCCCAGCTACGCTCCTGGGTCACTTCAACTTACCGGTTGTTAAATTTAGAAGCCTTTTTAGAACCGGTTGTCCTGCGCAGGACAACTGGTTCTAAAGGGGCTTCTAAATTTAGCAACCGGTTCCTGCTCACCACTGCCTGTAAATGTATCCCTGAGCTAGAGTTTTTGTTGGTTGCTTACATCCAAAATTAATTTGGGAAAATTGCCAACATGTTTTTGGTTCAAAGTGTTTTAAATTCAGTCTAGTTTTCTTTGTTTTTGTGATTTTTGTTGTTTGTTCTTGTTGATTAAATTTTTAGCAAAGACACTGTCAAAAAGATTACTGGAACTTTGCATTTATCAAAAACCTAAATCAACTGTTTTTCTTTTACCTAAAAAAACCTGACATTGGGAGAAAACCAAAAAAGTCAATAACCATTTTGATATTTGTGATTTGTTTTCAATGTAAAAAAAATCAACCAAAAGTATCCAAAAAACTTGAAAATGTTGATGTCAAATTTCAACAATGTCAACAAATTTTCATACAAAATTGTTTGAGACTTAAAAAAAAAAAAAGAAAATGTTCAAAAAATTTCAGCCTGCTCTACTCAAAGCTGAGCCAGAGGGGGTCTGTCTCTCTCTCTCTCTCTCTCTCTCTCTCTCTGGACAAAAGAGGAGTCAAGTCTCCCTGGCTCCTTTGGGTTTGGCATATTGCCTGCTAATAAAGGGAGCGTTTAATGTCTATTATCTGATTATGTGGGCGCTTGTCGACTAGGAGCTCCCGGATTCTCACAGGCTACCACAGAGCTTCCCTGAGGTAGCAGCTGTCAGTTTCTATTAACCTGCACTGGATTTGAAGTCTCTGGAGCCTGTCAGTCCCCAGGCCCTGAACTATTTCTTGCTCTGTATCACCCAGCATGCCAGGTTTGCAGGATGTAGGATCTTTCCCCCTCAAAATTGGAATAATCCCTGAAATCCAAGGACATGTGGCATCCCTAGCCAGCCCTGCCCCCAGTGCCAGCACTCCACCTATGCTTCATCACCCTGCAAGTCAGCCACATAAACCGTTCCTATTTGGGTTGCTGCCCCTAATACTCTACTGCCCTAGTAGGCAACGACCCAGCCAACCAACTCTGCCTTATGTGGTTGAGGCTGCTTGTCCTTTGCGCTTGGCACGCAGCAGGGAAGATGTGGCGGAGGAAGGAAAAGGCAGCCTGAACAGCTGTTTATCTCCAATCTGATTCCTGTCAGCAGAAGGAGGAGGTGAAGAGCAATGACCTGGGTGTCACTAACACCACCATCACCTCTTGCATCACTAACCACAATGAAAGCATTTCTCCAGCATTAGCAAAAGCAGCAGTCACTGCCTCATGTGTCTCCCAGTGTGGCATCAGCAGGAGCTTGCACCATGGGGTTCTCCTGCTCGCACCACCTTCTCTTGATGCTGCTAGGTTTGTGGTGGCCAGGTTTGGCATGGCATCGGGTGGGAGCAGCTCAGGTCCGGGAACACTACATAGCCGCAGAGACTACCAGCTGGAGCTACAGACCCCAGTCCAAAGAACAGTCCAGGTAAGTGCGGGAAGATATGGAGGCAACCAGCCCCCTCCTGGGCTGAAAGGGACTTGAGTCTCCTGAGGAGTTTGTGCCCAGCTGGGCTTAGGGACTGATCCAGCCTATGGAAGTTGATAAGAGTCTTTGCATTGACTCCAGTTGGATGAAGCCCTTAATTCAGTTCAATGCTATCAGCTGTTTTATTCACACAATGTAATTTTTTGAGCAGTTTTTATTGATGCCATTTTGACAAAGGCAAACTTGGGCTCACTCCCACATCTTCTGTACTCCCAAAACTCTCACTGGGGTCAGTCCTACAGTGAGAATTTTTACATGAGATTTACGTAAGATTTGGTGTTTTCTCATAGCCTCAGCTCCTGTGACTAGGTGAAAACCTCAGAATCTCAGCTTTCATTTCAACAATAAAAAACTTTTTCTGGCCCCACAGTTGTGTAGAAAAGCTCAAAGGCCACAAGGCAAATAAAAAACCTCTCAACATTATCTGTTTAAAATCTCATCATTTGGGGGGAAATTCTGAGTTCTTTTTATTTGCTTTTTGGTCACACACTCTTCACATTTTCAAGTTTTCTCTGCAACCACTAGAAATATGCTGTTTTGTGTTTTTGTTTTAAAAGCTGAGATTCTCATGCAAACTTTTGATTCAAGTGGCTGGGGCTTTAAGAAAAAACATCAAATGTGGCAGAACTAACAACAACAAAAATCACCAGAGTTGGCAATTCTACATATTTTTAAATAAGAAAAGGTCCTTACAAAAAACACCATAGATTTTAAAAAATGTAAATGAATAATCTAGTTTACTTTCTTTATTGTTGCTTACTAAGTACATTTCTTCAGCTGAGGTGATGAATACACAATAGTCAGTTTCACCATGTTCCTGCTTTCCACATAGTTTCACTTTCAGGTTCCCATGGCAGCATTGACAAATTTTGTGGGTGAGTGTGGTTGGTTGGTTGGTTGGTTGGTTTAAAAAAACAAAAATAAAATTTACCAAAAGGTAAATGACTTACACCTCATATATGCTGCAGAATACTGCAAGCTTCATGGGATCTCCAACAAATTATGCAATTTTACAACTCTTCAAAGCTGCAAGAACAGACAGTACAAAACCAGACAGTACTATATAGGCATAACACAGTACGGTGGAGGTTACAGTAATAATATAGGAGACCTATGTGAATAGGGAGGGGAGGGAAGGACCCAGGAGGGAAAAGGTGGAGGAGTTAGGTGGAATGGAAGTCTGACATTCTTTGAGCAGTCTGAATGTTTTTTTTTTTTTATTCAAACGTATCTAGAAAGAGGGCCCAAAACTTCTTTGAATGCATTTAATTGATCTCTAAAGTGATAATCTATTCTTTTATTGGCTGTTAACTCAGAAAGAAGTTGGTCCAATAAAAGATGTTCTCACCCACCTTGTTTCTCTCATATCCTGGGACCAACATGACTATAACAACACTTAAAAAGAACTCGGGTCTGAATACGTGACTGCTCTATTTTGGCATAAATTTACTCTTCCATTTTGTTTTTAAAAATATTTTTTTAAACAATCTCCTGGTTTTTAACATTTGAGGCTGGCAGTACTGTATATGATATAACCAGGTTTAATTTTTCAGTGCTCCCTGCCCTCCAAATATACACTGTTTTGGACTTGCTTGCACATGTCCATGACGTTTCCAAGCTGCTCTTTGGTTTCTTTTGTGCTACATGTATGTCTCCCACTCATCTCTGTGTATAGAAACCAAGCTGGCTAGAGGTTTGGCTCTGTTTACACATGCTGGTCAAAGATTATTTCTGGCTGTACGTTATTGCTAATCCTGGCAGAAACGTTTCAGATTTTTGAAATTTCAATTAAATATTTTCATGAAAAAATGTCAGGTTTTTCTAATGATTCCATTCCTTTTGTAATAACTTCTTTATGTCCCAGGGTCAGACAGGTATGTTCCATCTAATATCATTACAGGAGGTCACATATCACCTTCATGAGGACAAACTGTTGCAGGGAAAAGCTCCGCAGTGAGCTCCATAGATCAGAGCCTTCTCTTGCTGACGTCATCCAGGTTAACTCAGGGGGCCCAATTCTGCTCCCCATGGAGTAGAAACCTGTGGCATTTCTGCCTGATTCTTTCCTTGCTGGGAGAGTGATTTAGGGTAATCCACAGCCTTGCAGGGCAGCAGATCTGCTCTGAACTCAGAGGCTGGATCCTGAGCCATCACCATGGGCTGACCTCCCCTTCATCCAGCTGTCCTGCCTCCCTGTCTGTGCGCTGCCATCAGCTTCCCCCTACCAAGCCTGTGCCTTACCTTCCTGAAAGGAAGAGAGGAGACTTTGAGGGGGAATTGGTAGCTACTGGAGTGGGGGTGCAGCAACAAGAAATCTACCAATCAGCTAGGGATGCATGACACAAAATGTAGCTGCTCTGCTCCTCCAACCTTCATTTTAGCTCAGCACCCATCGTCCAACCGCCACGTGCTCTCTTCCTTTTGCCTGCTTGGGTTTCTTCTACAGCACCTAGCATGGGATCCATTTGATCATATACTTTTATGAATCAAAAGGTAAAGACAGTTGCCACATTTCCCAAGAAGCAGTTTCCTGAATGGCCTTGATCCCTGGGCTGCCTTATAAGAGACCAGTTTGCTCTTTCAAAGGGGAACGAATCACATTTTCTATTTTACCTAAAAGTCACGGCAGTTACAGATAATTGCCACGCTGAATGATTGTGCTGTGATCATTGCAGGTGATCTTGAAACGGAAGCACAGAGATGGGGGATCCAGATTCTGCTCCCAGCTCTGCAATACACATCCTGTGAGACTTTGGGCAGGTCACTTCAGCTCTCTGGGTTCCTATTTCCCCAACTGTGAAGTGAGGAAACTAATACCAACTTCACAGTAGAGCCAAAAGGAGCTACAGCATAGCAAAACATGGTTTGTTACCTTATTAACAAACTTATTATTAAACTGTAACACAATAGTGTCTAGAAGCCCCAGCTGCAATCGGGGCTCCATTGTGCTAAGTGCTGAATAAAGATGTAATAAGAGAGTCCCTGTCCAAAGAGCTTACACTCTAAATGGACACAGGGTGGGAGGGGAAACAGATGAAATGATTTACCCAAGTGACAGAGCCAGGAATAGAAGCCATGTCTCTAGAGGCCCACTCTAGTGCCCACTCCACTGGACCACACTGCAGAGCTAAGAAGCTTTACATTTAATTTATTTTTTTAATACTTCCTATTGCAGATTAGACAAATCAGAGCCTGTGTTTAAGAAAATTGCCTATAGAGAGTATGAAGCAGATTTTCAGACAGCAAAACCAAGAGATACTTTCTCAGGTAAGCAGAAAATAACTTTCAAAGCCAATTT